AACACACAAATATACGTAGAAGCGCACACACAATACACGCACACGTCTTCTCTATCACAAAGCTGTGTAACCATGCGCACACTTATCACACTACTTGTATCAACTGCCTGTAAGCATTGTATCGTCTTATAACAATGTGCGCAGAGGCGACTGCAGGAATGAACTCTCATTGCAGGTACTTACACAAAAAACGCTCTGATATCCAAAGTTGCAAAAAGTCGCCGAACTTTTTATTTCACTGATTTCCCTAAAACTTATATTACTGTCACATGCAAAAATCAGATTGGACAAATTTGGAGATTTTTTCTTACACTTATTTTAGTTTTTTGTACATAGTAAATTTATCTACAATTTATGATATTTCCATATAAATAATTATATTTTAGCTCATTTGTGGCACAGTGCAGCGGCGGGCCAGATGAACTGACCTCGCGGGCCGTAGTTTGGTGACCCCTGGACTAGAGGGAAGACAGCTAGTCAGCTCAACTTTCTCCATCTCTTAGGATTCTGTGATAGAATAGCAGGAATAGACTGTCACTCTTATAGAACAACCATAGCCTCACGTGCAAAGTGCGTTTTTCCTCAACGAGCTGCGAACCATTAATCCTTGGATTCACAGTCTGAGTACACTAACCACTAGGCTACGCTCGGCCAGAACAAAACTTTTATTACCTACTTTAAACTTATTTCCAAAATTTTGTTACTTTGAGTTGATAAAACATACGGTCGGCGGACTGCAAACCTTAGTTCCACCAATATGTGTTCCACAAGTAAATGTTGATAGAAAGATGCTGTAAAATGGCCAAATTGGATAAAAGTTCTCACAAAGGCAAAAAGAAGTGCGTTAAGTATACCTTTCTTTTTTGGTTATTTTACATGTTTACTTTCCTTTAAAACGCCAATAGCTCCAACTTACTCTGAAAATTAAGAATGATAAAATATTCAAACTCAGACGTTTACATCGTTAGAGGAAATATTACAAGTATTATATTACCTGGCCAGGTGGTTAAGTCACTCGACTAGCAATCTGAGGGTCGCGGGTTCGAATCCCCGTCACACCAAACATGTTTGCCCTTTCAGTCGTGGGGGGCGTTATAATATGACGGTCAATCCCACTATTCGTTCGAAAAAGAGTAGCCCTAGAGTTGGCGGTGGGTGGTGATGACTAGCTGCCTTCCCTCTAGTCTTACACTGCTAAATTAGGGACGGCTAGCGCAGATAGCCCTCGTGTAGCTTTGCGCGAAATTCAAAAACAAACAATCAAGGTTAGGTTGGTAAGTGTGTGTATAATTACTGTAAGTTATTAACCTATTCAAGGTTAGGTTGGTAAGTGTGTGTGTATAATTACTGTAATTTAAAACCTTGATATTAGTTGCAATATATTTGCGAAGACAATTTCCGAATATCGTGTTATAAAAAAAAAATTTAGGGTTCAGATAACAGGACCTTGAAAAGTTTTTGTTGTTGATCAAAGATCCATATTTTCTCACGGAGAACCCCTAAGGCCTCAAAACACAAACTTCGGCTCATTACACCATGACCATCGGTAGGGGATACTTGCTGGTTTTGTCTATCATTTGTAATCGGATTTTAGATGTTGTTCAAAATAAATATTGTACTTTAACGATACATTTTCACTGAAGGAAATCCTTGGAATATACATTCTAAAGTATCCGTGGTTTTGGTTGATTATTGCAAAGCGTAAAAAAAGCGTTAAAATCATATTTCTAAAAACTTCCCTAAGCTTAAGATTAGATTTAGTTTTAACTTCCACGGCTGTTGGGAATGTACATAATTTTTTGTAATAAGATACCTTTACCTTTACAGATGTTGGAAGTACCATATAAGGACAATATGTTCCGTATGCCCTTGGAATTACTTCCTGCGTCGTTAATCGTGCTCATTTTGAATACAATGATTACACAATTCCCATAGTAACAAAAACTTTTGAAAATGACTGTTAGGATAATGTAAGATCCACACGTCTTGACAATTTTTCTATAGGCCTTCCAGTATAGCGGTACATCAGCTTCTAAGACCACTTTTAAACAGATGTAAGGCACAAAAGTCCATTGAAGCTGTACGCAGACCATGACAGGTGTACGGTCGACTGGGATAGCTGTAAATTCCAGCGTTATCGCTCATATTTTTCATGAAAACAACTGTGGGTTTCGAGGTACAGCTGGAAACATGTATTCCTTTATCAACTTCAAAATACTGTTTATTATCTTGTTAACAATGTTTTTTGTTATTTCGGGGATTGTGGGTGGGGGTCTTCGTAACCACAGCGGATGAGGACATTGCACAGGATTGAGGTGTATCGTGGTTTCAGAACAAACAATTTTATTCCAAAGTTTCTTTACATTTATGTAAAGGCTCACCATATCTGAAATACATCTAAATGTTTTGGTATTATGCATTTCTTTATCATTTTATTCAGCTTGCATTGTGCTTAAACATTAAAATTTACGTCCAAACATTATGTGGTATGTTACTAACATATTTGGCTATTAAAACAGTTAACACATAAATGTCTATATTATATATAAAAATGTTTGATCTAATTTCGCTATTAAAAGAGTTAACACATAAATGTCTATATTATATATAAACATGTTTGATCTAATTCTTATATATATTACACATGCAGAAATGCAAACATTTTGAAATTAGCATTTACACAGAATATGTTTAGGCTATCATATAATAATGTGTTTATTTCCAAAACTGGGTTTTTGTTATATCTATCCAAAATTAGTCTACTTTCATATCCGTAACAGATTGACCCTGCTCATTATCCATATCCCTAAACCAAAGATCACCAGGATGGTAAAAATAATAAGAATTCTTGCTTTAACAGAACATTTCTATAACGTACCTGATGGTGAACATTTCTTTCTAATACTAATGTACTTCTGCAGAAGATATCTGGAAAATGAAATAATGAAATGTCATAGTCAAAGCTTTATAAAAATGAACAAATAATTAAAACGACAAGGGCCACTGTCAGAGAACTGTATTTTATATCTCTCTTGTGTTTATACTATCACCCGAGTAACGTCACAATGTTGCCGACCTGTTCGTTCTACAAAGCAAAAACAACTAGCTTTGAGTGCGGGAAAATAGCCATGTGTCGTATTTTAATTAGACATGTGATAGCCTATACACTTTTTTTTTCTTTTTAATAATCTAATACTACCTCGAGGTTCGCAGTTTTAGATAAATATTTAAACACATTTATGGAGTGAAAAGCACATAAGCTATATATATATCTCCATTCAACGGGTTCACTCCCTTCAAAAAAATATGCTGTACATTGTTACTAACAGCAAGCCTTATTTCGAACACACTCTTCAGTTCAATACTGAAATTGGGATTTGATCATAAAGATACTATTGACTGTATCCGGAAAAAGATAAAAAGTACTAAAACTGCATTGTAACGATGACTTGGTATCAGAGATTTCGTTTGTGTCAAAATTTTGATGAAGGTCTGTTATCTAGTGCAAAGTAATTGTCAGGGTTTTATGTAAATATGGGCTGGGGATTATTTTACAGTATGTCTTTGATTTGTTGGCGGTAATTTCGAATAATATACGGACAACACAATCCATTTGTTTTAAAATAATATAATTAAAAGAAGTTCAATGTATTTACAAAACTTCTTTACACTATAGGATATCACAGTTGTATCTCAAACTATAAAAATAATTATTATTTTTTTGTTAAAAGTCCTCTTAGGCTGATTCAATTATTTTAGAATATCCTTTCGCAAGACAACTTATTTTCCTTATTTCTGTTAAACTGTGAAACTCACTTTAAAATATCACCTGTTAAAGCTAATCACTCACACGCTCGCTAACTTCACGTTTTTTTTTGTTTTTCTTTTTCGCTAACTAATATTCTGACTAAACTGCACTTTTTCTCTACTTTTACTTTACTTCACTTTTGTTTTCTTCTTAACTTGCGCTCACTTGATGGCCTGTATTTATACTTTACCCAACTGAGGCCTTGAATTCTCTCTAAACTACACAAGCGGCGCTGTAAAGCAACAATATACACTTTAGGTAACCAGAAAAATACTGAAGGTTTGAGTAACGTGACGTCAACAAAATTAGTAAAGCTTAAACAACAATGTAATTGCAAACACAACATACCACTCGTAAAGAGTTACTTAACGAAATTTGTCACAACTAACACTTTTAAAACAATCTATCTTCAACACTCCTATCTTAAAAACTGTTACGTCTCTGTTCGTTTGTTAATTTCCCGTAGTTTATTTTCTTTCTCCTCCAACTACTGCTGTAGCCTCTCTTCTTGTTCATTTTCTTTCTCCTCCACCCACTGCTGTAGTTTCTCTTCTTGTTTATTTTCTTTTTCCTCCAACCACTTCTGTAATCTCTCTTTTTGTTTATTTTCTTTCTCATCTAACCACTGCTTTTCTTTTTCCTCCAAAATTGCTGTAATCTCTCTTCTTGTTTCTTTTCTTTTCCTCCAACAACTGCTGTAATCTCTCTTGTTTATTTTGCTGTTCGAGCTGCCACTGTTGCAGATTAATGCTACTGCTGTTGCCTCTCTTCTTGTTTCTTTTCTTTTTCCTCCTAAAACTGCTGTATTCTCTCTTCTTGTTTCTGTTGCGTCAGCGAGGTCAGGTGACTAGTGTCACGCCACGTTTCTAGAACTATCCTGTTCCTTTGTGAATGCCCTAGCATTTACTAGATATATGTTAGTCTGGTATATATATATAGGACGCTCACAACGTGACGAGACAAGAATGTGTATAGGTAGTGAGTAATTGAACTGCAGTCAGAAAGTATTGTTCAAGTTAACGTTCGTTGTTAAAACGTTTGTTATAGAGCGACTGTTGAAAATAAGTGTATCGGTAAAGTTATATTCGGAAAGAATAAACCATTTTTATTAAGAAAGGACTTGTGTCGCTAAAGTTTCGTCGGAACGAAGTTACGGAAAATCAATTAACGACTACAGACGTAACAAATTGGTGTCAGGTCTGAGATTAAAAAAAGAAGAAAAAGAGAATATGGAAACGAGAAGCGGCAAATT